ATACAAGCACACAGAACCAACCCTTTTTACAGTCATTCTGCTCGACTGCGTCCCTGAGTTCTACCCTCTTCCAGCGAAGGCAAGAGGGCAGTGGCCCCCTGACCATTTAACAGAGAGGTGTCAGATCCCATGAGCAGGCACACTATCCCCTGGACTTTCCCACCTTCCAGATGAGCCGGGAGGACAGAGCTTATCTGACTGCGGCAGCCAGCCCTTCCACCACAGGATGCTTAGAGCAGTCATGTTAACATAGTCTTCCATCTTGGAAGTGGCTTGGAAAACTTTTGTCGAAAAGCAAATACATAAAAATAAAACAAGATGCTGGTAAGATTCCTGCTTCAAGGACACCTTTCTGGACATTTAACGTTCAATTCCATTCAAACTGGGGGACTGACTGAAAAAGGTATGGAGGTCAGCAACATTAGCCCTCATACTGATGCCCCAAATAAACTCGAAAGCTTCTCCTCTGGGGCATAAACAGCGCTACAGGCTTTGAGCATCTGAGCTGCTTGCTTCCATCCTCCTGCATCGTAACTTGGACTTGAGAAGGCAGCAGCTGAGGTGCTCAAGGAGACACCTGTTCCATAGCCACTGTTGCTTGTTCGCTTTGTGAGGGAAGAATCTGCTTTTTGACCAGATCTCAGCTTTCAAAATAAAAGGTATTTGAGACACATGGGAAGGGGAGCGGGGATTGAGCTATGCCAGGGCTATGAATTTAACCTCCACCCCTCCCCCAGTTGCCTATTCCTACTGTGAAGACGTCATTTTGCAGCATGCGTGTGGCTGTTCCTGCTAAAGCAACATCATTTGGTGTCTAGGGCTTCAGTTTCTGCACATCTCCATGGATACGGATGTTAGCTCAGCAAAAGTCACTCAGTCCTTCAAAATAATTTCTGTTCATTTTGAGATTTGCATACACTTAACCTGTTTTTCATGAGGCCTTCCTCGGATACAGTGAGAGCCCTGAGTATGGCTATAAGATGAAAACATTCAGTCACTTCAGAGCAAAAAAATATATATTTTCCCCCCTTCTCTCCAAATGAGGATAATAGACATAATGCTGTTATATACCCTGGACATGAACCATTTCAGTGATTTGCTATTTAAAATATGCATATTTGGGCCTGTGATATAATGGTGCTCATAACGGTGTTGACAGCATCAACGAGGTGCTCACATTTCATCCACGTCACAACCTTGCAGGTCAGGTCAGAGACAATGGCCTGCTCAAGCCCACCTCAGAAGAAGAAGAAGAGAAGAGAAGAGGTTGGATTTATACCCTGCCCTTCACTCAGAGCCTCAGAGCAGCTTACAAACTCCTTTCCCTTCCCCTCCCTACAACAAACACCCTATGAGGTAGGTGGGGCTGAGAGAGCTCTTTCCAGAACTGTCCTTGAGAGAACAGTTCTGACAGAACCATGGCTTGCCCAAAATCATCCAGCAGCTGCAGGAGTCAAAACTGGTTCTCCCAGATTAGAGTGGAGGACTGGAGAATCAAACCCGGTTCTCCAGATTAGAGTCTGCCACTCTTAACCACTACAACAAACTGGCTCTCAAGCCTGTGATATAGCTTGGAGTTATATGCAAACTAAGCCTTTTTTTTTAATAGCAAAGTAATTTCTTTCCTGAACACAACTGTTAAAATAAGTGACTATGCCATACGTGCCAATGTTCTGAGATATATGTTTAACAGATAACAGCCATTCCCCACAGTGTTTGCTCACCTCCTGTAACTAACAAAACACTCTACAGCTGATGCTTAATCACCCGACTTCAATCCTATGCATTCACCGTGTCAGCCTCTCTCGGGTTTTTTCTGCAGCTGAAAATATTACAACACTAATATTTTAATGGAATATACAAAGTTTGTGTGTGTGTGTGTGTGTGTGTGTTCAGTGCCCTCAAGTCTCCTTTGACTCACCGCAACCCTGTAAATTAATGTCCTATCATCAATAACCTTGCTCAGGTCTTGCGAATAAGGGCTGCTTACACAAAGTTTATACACAGTCAGATCAGTGGTCCCATGTAACCCGTTCTGTACTATCTATTCTGACAATACTATTCTAGTACGAACAGTCTATTCTGAACAGCAGTGTTTCTCTAGGGTGACAGGCAGAGGTCTTTTGCAGTCCTGTTATTCAAGATCCTTTAACTGGAGAAACCATGGACTGAATTTAAGGCTTTCTACAAGCCAAGCATATGCTCCATCACTGGGCACAATGTCTCCATCTGTGTCTGGAATAGATCATGATTCACTGTAGGTAAGAAAATCTTCAGAAAATGAGTTGAATTAGGATCTGATGAATCATGAAATCTGGATACACATTGGAGCCAAGCTCCATCACTTTCACCACACAAACAAACAGCATAGCTTTAGCTGCTTGTTTCCATGTCAAATATCAGCCTTATTTGTTGGCTTCAAATCCCATTTCTCAGACAGACCTCCTACTATTATGCTCATAAGACACAACGTTACTTTTACAAGAACGCTTTTAATTTAAATACTGAAATAATAAATGGATACGCCAGTAACGTATGGGCGGAGAACGAGAACGGGGGGGGGGGGGGGGAGAAGTTCCTGAAAACACAAACTCGGACACAAAATATGCAAAATAAAAGAGAAAGGAAGTAGAAAAGGGTGAGTCTGAGCTGAGCCAGGTGCAGTTGTGTGATTGGGCCATTGCCTGCCTCCCACTCTCTCAGCCCCTTACGGTGTTGCTTTTCTCTCCCTCACATCCCGATGACAAAATTTTTACATAAGACAACACCAAACAGTAGTGAAAGAAAGTATGAGTTAATTATTTCTGGGCAAGTCTGAACTACTTCTTTTAAGCTGCTTATTCAGTGACAGTTCCCATCTTCGGTTCTTTCTGTTCCTGACCAATACTATTAACAACAATGCTTTTTGAAGAGCAGTCCGAGGAACCCAGGACCTTCTCAGAAGCTGATCGGAGGTTTCTCAATGGGAAGATCAGAAAGTGCAGGCAAGGATCTTTGAAAGCCGCCTGAACATCACTGCAAAGCCCTGGACTGTGCAGCCACAGGTAAATGTAGTGTGCGTTCTAGGCCAGCCACACAGTTCATAAGGGCAACAACCAAGTCCTAAAGGCCTGGCCAGCACAGGGTTGAGATGAGGGTGTGCATTATAGATCCCTTCCCAAACAAACTTAACAGAAAGAGTTCTCTGAAGGCAGAAAGTTTGACAAACAGATACAGAGTGTTAGCACAGAAGCACAGATAAGGCATCTGATTAATGTGCAACGAAGGTCTACAGGCGAGCAATACAAATATCTTGGTTGGAACTATCTCCCATTATGTCTTCTCAAGATGTGTATATCAAGACTAAAAGGGACTATATATTTTTTTAAAGGACATTGGCATATATATTGATAAGAGAAGATGACGTACTGTTTGCTGAATCCTATCAGGCTGAGCATCTGACAAGTCTGGGAAGGTGATGCAGTAGGTGCAAAGTTTATAACTAACGAAGTAAATACATGACAGTCAAAATCCATTTTTAAAACTCAAAACACCTACAAGGAGGTTCTACAGTCAATGTCTACCATATACAGAAGTATGGAAAAATAATGCACGTATCCATGTGGAACTATATGGTCATCATAAGTGAGCAACCACGTCTGTCTTGCTCCCTTCTCATGAAAAAAGGATTTGAGTGTTTAAAGAGGGAAGAAAGTCTACTAGGATAAGATACCACTTGCCATTTTGATTTAGGTGCCAAGTAGGGGGTATGCATTCAGCATAAACCAAGCCAAAAAAAACCCCCTGGTAAATACCTTACCGGTATTTTTTTAAGGCAGTTGTTGATGGGGTTTAATTTCGGTTATCTGAAATGGCCAAGCCCAGAAAATCCCGAAAATATTTGGGATTTTTGGGACCACCAGATAGCCAAACTTAAAGGGATTTAAAGGGACCGCAGTCCCTTTAAACACCTTCTCCAAGCCATGCGACTCCACTGCAAGTGAATTCCGAAGGCATTTAAAGGGCTCGGCAGTCCCTTTAAATGCCTTCCAGGTGAACGCACTGGTTGGAAGTGTTTAAAGGGACTGTGAGCCCTTTAAACACCTTCAGAGTTCATTTGCCATGGAGTTGCACAGCTTGGAGAAGGCATTTAAAGGGACCATGACCCCTTTAAATGCCTTTCCCCCCTCTACTGAAAGCAGTGGAGGATGGGGGCACCTTCTTTGGGGGCCCATAGAATTGAACCCCCTGGCCCAATCTTTTTGAGAATTGGAGGTTTTTTTGAAGAGAGGCACCAGCAACTATGCTGCAAATTTAATGCCTCTACCTCAAAAAACAGCCCCCACCCCACCCCAGATACCCCCTGATCGATTCTCCATTAAACCCTATGAGGATCACTGACTATAAAGGTCCCCATAAAGTATAATGGAGCCAAAAAAAATTCAGGTTTCCTGAATATTTACCAAATCTGAATACCATACCGGTATTGGAATGGGAATATTGGGAAATACCGATATTTTTCAGGTTTAATATACTCAAACCTGAAAAATACCAGGTTGTTTTTTCTTTTTTGCAAACCCCTAGTGCCAAGTCATACCGTTTGAAAAACACCAAATTGCCATTCAAGATTAAGTGGAATTGAAGTGCTTGCTCATTTTGTCAAAACAATCAGATGCAAGCTTTCAAAGTGCAAGCCTGAGGAACACAACCATCCTACATGATTCCTAAGGGGACTCTGCAATACAACAGAAATCCAGGAGTCGCCACTCATTGACCCAGTAGGAGACTGCCAATTGTGTCTTATTGCCTGAGAATGGTCAACCTGGCCTCTATGAATCAAGGCTACAATTACAGTTGAGCTGCAAAGTTACTAGGAAAAAAATGAGATGATTGCAAGAGATGTTCTCAATGGCCTGAAGAAACAGGCTGTCTGGGCTCATCTGATCTGAACGTCATACTTTCCATATTATAGAGATCAGACCTTAGTAAACAAGCTGCTTTACTGTAGGAAGACAGCTTACCTAAGTTGTGTCGCTTTGCCTTCGCGTGCTCGTGAATGTGTTTCTTTGTAAAACAGCCAAAGAAGACACAGTACAGGCAAGAATGAAGTCTGTTCAGATGGGCACCACACATGTGACAGATGCACGACTTTGCCTGCAACGTAAAGGAAAGATGCTCGTTACAAACAGCCAATACCTCTGGGTTACAGTCTTGCATTAGGAAAAATTCACCTTGTTTCTGCCTTTAAAAGTGAGCCACACTGAAAACTACAGCGAAGTTTCCTACTCAACTTTGCATCATTCTCCACGATACAGCACATTTCCAAGCTTGTTCTTCCTCCTACCCAACTCTTGTTTGTAGTACTTGAATAAATCCAAATAATTACCAACTATACTAATTTAACTATACTATTATTTTAGGATAACATACAGCCCCCGTCAGATCACTGTTTCATTGGCCACCCAAACAAATAATAATAATAATAATAATAAACTTTATTGTCATTGTACATAGTACAACGAAATTAAGGTGCAATCATTCGGTGATCTACAAGCATACTCATATACACTCACACAACCATCCCGAAGGCAGCAGTTCAAACAGGGAGTGTTCAGGGTGTGACAAATCCTGCAAAATGTTCTTTGCTTTTTTCAAGCATCGAGAACTATACAATTCCTCCATGAGTGGGAGAGGACAGCCAATAATCTTCTGGGCTGTGATGATAACTCTCTGGAGTGCTTTCCTCTCCACAGCCGTACAACTGGCAAACCAGACACAGACGCAGTATGTTAAAATGCTCTCTATTGAGCAGCGATAGAAAGACATCAGTATTTTCTCACTCAAGTTATTTTTCTTTAAAAGTCTGAGGAAAAAAAGCCTCTGCTGGGCCTTCTTCACCAGAGCAGTGGTGTTAGTGCTCCAAGTCAAGTTCTGCTCAATAATCACTCCCAAAAACTTAAAAGTAGCCACCCTCTCCACACGTTCTCCACCAATAAACAGTGGCTGAATGTCCGTTTTGTTCCTCCTATAGTCCACTACCAATTCCTTGGTCTTGGTGGTGTTGAGGATCAAATTATTTTCCCTGCACCAAACACAAAGCCGTTCCACCTCGTCCCGATAAGCAGACTCATCATTCCCAGAGATGAGCCCCACCACAGTGGTGTCATCAGCAAACTTGATGATGGTGTTACTGGGGTGGGTGGGGGTACAATCCTGTGTGTAGAGGGTATAGAGCAAGGGGCTCAATACACAGCCTTGTGGAGAACCGGTATTAAGGGTAAGGGCTGTGGACATATAGGACCCTACTCTAACCCTCTGGGGGCGGGCTGTCAAAAAGTTCAAAATCCAGAAACATATGGAGCTGGAGAGTCCAAGGCCCTCCAATTTGGACACTAATCTATCTGGGAGGATGGTATTAAAGGCAGAACTAAAATCCACAAACAACAGCCTCACATAACTCCCCGGCTGCTCCAGATGTGACAGAGCAGTATGCAGAGTAGTGTTGATGGCATCCTCTGTGGATCTGTTTGCCTTATAGCCAATCTGAAGAAGGTTCTCTCAAGCCACAGAGATGTTAATGTGCAGAAAAGCATGATATACAATAGTAAGATGAAATTCTTTTCTGCTTTGTCCATTTAACAAGGAAAGTGAAACAGATCTGCTCAAATTTTAAGGCTGCATCCTTTTCAAGTGAATAAGCTACAGGCTTTCTGGGCTCCACTCAAATGCCAAGTTCATCTGATCAATAAATCATCAGGGAAACATTCGATCAGTTTAATCCAAGCCTTGAGTACACAAATATGAATTTAAGTTGAAAGCACCTCCATACACCTAGTATTATGAAAACTCATATTTCATGTAAGTCTGACAAATAAAACAAATTAACCTAGAATTTTACAACACCTTAATACCAGAAACACATGCAAAGCAACAATTTCCATGGCAAATAAGAATGCTGACTTAGAAACAGAACACAGAGATCATTTTATGGCCATACATTCATTTCAATATTATGCAGTCTGTAGACAGTTACAATAAGCAGAAAATGAACAGGAGGCAGCTTAAATTTTAAGTATGCTTTGGATGTTTGAGGATGATCAACAATAGATCATAAATACAATATGGCTTTTTTTCCCCCCCCCCCCGCATCAGAGACTGACCCTGCAAATTTCGGCATGAAAAAGAGGTGATTTACCCATGTATGTGCTACAGCAAACTATCTTGGGTGAAGCAAAACAAGTCGAAAGCTCATTAATACTTGTAATTAGAAAATGATTCTTCATTATGATTTGGAAACTGCTGAAATGGATAAACTGATAAAGACTGTCATCATACAGCCTGTTTAACTTTAAAACGAAGTGGACTCCTTCTACTCTTAATGCAAGCATGAAAGGCTGGAAAGACCTCCCGGCACACCATTTGATAATTTTTTAAAAGCCAGTAACTCCAATTTACACTGAATGACAGCAATACATGCTCTCCCCCCTCCCAACAAGTAAAGTGTCAGTAACAATGGCTCTGTGGGAATTAACAAGCAGCGACTCTGCACAGAAGTACATGCATATACTCCATGAAGCTTGTAATGGCCAAGACAGTGATTTTTCTCACCATTGCAACTTTGGCCAAATATGATTTCAGGTTTCCCCCCACAAGTGAACAGCTGCCATTTATTTCCACAGAAAAAAAGTTTAAAAGGTGCATCTGGAGACAGCAGTAGGGTGGAAGCTAATTCTTCTGGCTCCAATGTCTAGGATGCTTCAGGATTAATTCCTCCCCCCCCCCCATATCATAGGCCATTTACCTAGAGAACTCAACAAAAGGCTGCAAGAACTGAGCCCACCACCATTTACAGATCTTTTCCCCGGATTCCGTTTCTTCATGAGATGCTACACAGTGAAACACCACTGGAAACTGGATTTATTAATATATACTGGTAATCTCTTATTCCGTAGTATGTATATAATCCACTGAAAAGCCTTAGAGTCCCACCTTCTCTTCCATTTGGCAGGATTCCACGAAAGCCAGATGTTAACAATTTAACTTTTTACTCTGGCTTGGACATTTGGATTTTAGAAACGTTATGGGGTATTAAAGACAGGCGTGAAGCTTACCACCACTTACAAACTTAGGTAATTTATACCTAGATTTGATTTGTGCATCTCACACAAATCAAGTTTCCAAAGGAACACAAAATCTAGTTAACAGATCCACTTATGACCCCCAAAAAACATCTGCTTTAAAGATTTTTAAATATGAACGAAACTCTGACAATTATCTACACACATGATGAAAATCTTATGACAAATTGATGTGTAATTGTGGCTCTGGGGCTGACACAAGCAATATATGTGCAGCTTCTATGATGGAGAGTGCTGATGTGACAACAGTTCTAACTACTGGCAATTTAGTTCCTTGTTCAGTTGTAGAAGCTTCTTATCCAATTAAAGATGATACACTAAGTCATTCTAAAAACTACTCCTTTGTTAACGGTAGTCACAAAAAAGCTATATAAAAAGTTTCTTTTTGATACTCTTAGATTTCAGATGTACCAAAATAAGTTACAAGTATCAGGGTAGGAGAAGAACTTCTCAAGTAGAGACCGTGGGTAGGAATGGACAAAACACAGTGTTAAGGTCCCAGAGAGAATTTACTAAGAATTCCCCACAAAGAATATTCCTTGATCATATGCAAAAGTTCTATTGTCCACAGCATTTGTATGTAAATTTGAACATTCAAGAACATTCTGTGATGTCACAGCAGCTGTTCAGTAGCTATGGAGAGACTGACAAGACAAGCGGGCAGGCAATTACCATTTGTCCTGATAGGCCATTTCTCAGCCTTGCAGAAAAGTACAATTTTTAAAAAAGCACTAGCCCACAAACAATTGTGTCATAGGGTACACTGAAATGTGGGTCAGGCAAGCTATTTGCTCAGAAGAATCATTACTTGTTAAGACACAGCTACCTTGAAATCCTAATGGCAACTACCATTCTTTTCACAAAATTGTGACTGATCAAAAATCTCAAGTTGGCCAGAAAGAAGTCACACGGAAGGCGGACAGCCAGAAGCCCCTTGCGAATCATTAGTTGGGAGTTTTAAAAACTATTTACCAACATTCAGCTTCACAATACTCAGAGGTTTTAAGGAAATGCCACAGAACTGCAACAGAGCACTTAAAACTGAACTCCTAACAGCCCCAACTATACACAATCAACAATGCAGTTTACTTCTTTACCCCTTAGATGGGATACAACCAAAAAACCATTTATACGATTCAGTGTACCTAAACAGCACTGGTCACATCATCAGAACAGCAACCACTCACATAAACTCCCTGGAACAACCAGGGATCCTTCAGACACTATGAGAAGAAGAATTGGTTTTTATACTGCACTTTTCTTTACCCTAAGGAGTCTCAAAAGAGTCTACAATCGCCTTCCCTTCTTCTCCCAACAGACATCCTGTGAGGTAGGTGGGGCTGAGAGTCCTGAGGGAACAGTGACTGGCCCAAGGCCACCCAGCAGACTTCATGCCAAGAGGTGGGAAATCAAACCTGGCTCTCCAGATTAGAGGCTGCCACTCTTTCTTTTTTTTTTTTTTGAAGATCATTACATCAGCTTATATAAGTGTTAGTCTAAAATGCTTACATTACATTGAACATAGTCGATTAAGCTAAATTATTTATCTTTTTAACCATTTTTAACTGTTTAAAGAAAACCCCAAGAGCATCATTTATATCACATGTTTTAAGGCACCATTCAGAATCCTTCAGCCTTCACTTTGCTTTATCTTTTCTAATCCTCAATTAGTATTCTCGTTTAGGGGCAGCCGCCCCCTTTTCTGAAGCTGAATCCTCGCCGGAAGACAGAGTCCAGTTCACCGCTAGATTTGCTGTCATCTTCTTCTTTAGCGTCCTCAGCTGGTTCTCCCAGTTGCAATCTCAGGAACTCACGTGCTTTGGAAACAGAGTCAATTTTTTTCTTTTTTGTCCTGCAGTTTGAAAATGATGCCTTCTGGGGTTAACCATCTGTAGGAAATGCTGTTTGTTTGTTAAAAAAGGATTAAATCTTTGTACTTTTTCCTCTTCTTCCTTATTTCAAATGGGATGTCTTTTAAAATCCTGATTGTGTTGCCTCCAATTTTCAAGCGTGTTC